CACGTTTGAAAAAATTTTCATTAAGTATCGGCCAATTCCATCATATACAATATTTAGATCGCAATAGCAAAATATGTATAGAAGCCCGATGTTTCAATCAATTCGCTTTTGTTTTTAACACGCTTTTGTTAGCTTCACCTGTATGTATGTATGTTTGTTTGTAACTCTCAAACTCGGGATCTGTATTTGACAGAATTATTGATTGATCTATTCGCGGGCAGATGGCGCTGTACGCAACGGCCTTGATATAATTCGAACTCACATCACTTATATTTCTTTATTTGAAAAAAGTGGTTTTTATTAACACGCGCGCCTGCTGCCTTGGGTTTAGTAGCTGATTTTCAGGCTCCCTCTCCGGAATCGGAAAATATTTAACGAACGAAAAATTCTAGTATCATTGTGAAAAAAGCGTGGGCGCTTTATGCCATATTTTTTGTATATCAAGCGCTCGTCGCTTTTTTCACAATAATACTAATATTTTTCGTTCGTTATTGTTTTAAGCTTATTTAAAAACAATTATTTTTAACTTTTTAGTTCGAGATGTTCTTTATAAACGTGTTTTTTAGTTTTTCAAACTATAAATATTTTAGGAACTCTTGACGCAATAAATGAGATTGACCAAATTTGTACAAATGTTGATAGATGGTGCAGGAGTCGAAATTTGTTGCGCTTATGTTGTTCTTAACTTTAATTTATGGACAAATTTCTCCTAATACTATACATTTATTCCCGAATAACAACATTGAACATTGAAGTGCAAACATGACATTGTCAATCTGCGTCGCTTGAGTTATATTCAGCACTTCAGTGAATAAAATTCTGAAATTTATTGGATTTTTTATCGTTTCTTCGTCAAGAGTGCCGTAGGTCGAGAGTTTTTGGCTGAATGTTTCATATGGGAAACCGGTTCAAGTGATCACACCAGAGATATTCTATGCATTTTGCTCAGACAACATCCCACTGGCAAGAAATTAAAATTTTAATATTGCAAATTTTTTACTTGCACATTCACTTGATTTTTTCATTTCCTCTTGGTACAACATCAGTTTAAGAATATTGGGTTGGAACTGTATATTATACGTAGAAAAAAAGAAATTTTATCTAATCTTTTTTTTAGTGGAAGAATTATAGTAAATTTTCCTTAGAAAATATATTGATATAAATCAATTCTACTCTAGAAATATAACATATCTAATGCACACAGAAGGAAATTAACATTGAAACAATATTAATGAGAATGAAACAAAGACTTTATATTTCACCAATTCACTCGAAGAATTGATAATATAACAACGACAAAAATACATATCTAACAATGATTACCAAGATGAACAATATATTTGTCTCTAGTTCACAACGTGATCACCAGAGGGCGAATCGAGTATTTTGAATTCCTTTTCTGACTTACCGGTTTCGAGATCCCCATTTACATGATATATGGGAAATATTGAGGTAGTATTTCTCATGACTAAGAGACTAAGCCTATTATTTCTGTTTGAAAAAGAGTTAGATGATAAACATATTATCTTTCGCTAGCCAAAGTAATAAATCTATTATATCCCATGTACATTAGAAGGACTCATTAACTTATACAAATCGAAATATATCAGAGTATCATGTCATTATCTATAAGTACAAACGGAGATGCATAGAAACCCTACGGTTTTCTGCGATTCGATTTTTCATCAAAAACTTTCGGCCAAATCAAAAAGATTAGCCAACTTTGTACATCTGTCAACACGTGTAGTTGACAGATGCTACAAGAATCGAATTTAGCAACATTGGTTTAGGATGGCAATACGGAAAGAGTTGAACCAAAAGAATTATTTAACCGCTTCAACCGCTGCGCTCTAAGGAACAAAATTAAGCAAAATAAACACAAGCACAGGTTGTTATGTCACAATTCCAATTGGTGACATATTCTCATAATCACTATCAAATTGTCTTATTCTATGTTGATGCATTTTCCACAATTTCATTTTATTGTCACGAATATTTTATTGTTTTCATTAAGTTATTTAATTATCGTTTCTCTTTCGGAATTTTTCTATAACGGTGGTGCTTAGTAGTAGATCGAAATTATTTCTTGAGAATATATTCATGTATTTATCAAAAATAATACCACAAGACCTCGAAATTTCATTCGAATAAGTTTCGATTATGATTGTTAGATTTCTGGACATCATATTCATTTTTAGTATTCAAGAAGGAGTTTTCATTGAAGGATTGTTGTCATATTTTTATGAGATGAGATGTGAATCAGTGAAGTGTGCCAATTAATTTTTCATTTCGGTAAGTTTTATTGATTCACATATCTATTTGGGTTTTCTCAGTAGAGTTAGGGTCTCGTTGCTGTCATAATCAAATTGAACACGTGCATTTATGCAAAGTTTTTTTTTACTGTAGCTTTTTCCCAACACCAAACCGTTATTTTAACACCTCGACACGTGTTTCGATCACCAAGTGATCATCTTCTTCTTGAAGATGATCATACCTACAAAGCTATCCTTATTTATACCATAGATACCTGTTTTAGGTACCTGCGTCTAGTAATTAGTTTCAAAATATTGCCTTATCTACTAATCTTTAATTAATTTTACAATGTGTCGTTATGTAATAGTCAGATAAATTTAACAATTGAAATATTATAAGCTATTTAAAATTATTTTCACAATATTGCCTTATCTACTAGTCTTAAACTAATTTTACAATGTGTCCTTGTGTAATAGTTAGGTGAATCTAATAATTAAAATATTATAAGCTATATAAAACTAGTTTCACAATATTGCCCTATTTACTAGTCTTAAATTAATTTTACAATGTGTCCTTGTGTAATAGTTAGGTGAATCTAATAATTAAAATATTATAAGCTATATAAAACTAGTTTCACAATATTGCCCTATCTACTATTCTTGAATTAATTCTACAATGTAATGTAATTATGTAATAGTCAGCTGAATCTAAAAAATGAAATATTATTTCAACTAACTATATAGTATACTATTAGGTATTGGTCCACCATCGTTATTCATAGTATTATTATGTTTACTTATTTCTACAATCTCATAGGCATCTAAATGCCTGTTGTTGTTAACTTGTCTAACTAATCTTAATGAACTGAAGTCTATGGAATGGTTTTGTTGAAAAATATGATGGGCCACTGCCGATTTTTCAGTTCTTCCATATTTTAAGTGTGCTAAGTGTTCCTTATATATTATTTTAATGATCTTTTTGTCTGTCCATAATATTTTGCACCGCAGTCCTTACATTTAATTTTGTAAATTCCAGACTTTTCTGAATTCTCTACTTTGTCTTTTGGACTTCCTAAAAGGCTCTGTAGTCTATGACTTGTTTTAAAAAGCACCGTCATACCTAGTTTCCTGAAAATCTTTCCAAAGTTCTTCGTGTATTGGTGGTATGGAACTGAGATACCTATATTTATTTTGGTTTTTGTCCTTTCTAAAATGTGGTCTAGGTATGAAGGTGGTTTTTAAAACAAGTCATACACTATATAGCCTTTAAGGAAGTCCAAAAAACAGAGTCGAGAATTCGGAAGAGTCTGAAATTTACAAAATTAAATGTAAGAACTGCGATCCAAAATATTATGTACAGACAAACAATCTATTGAAATAAGATATAAGGAACACTTAGCACAGTTAAAATATGGAAGACCTGAAAAATCAGCAGTCACCCATCATATTTTGCAACAAAACCATTCCATGGACTTCAGTTCATTAAGATTATATAGACAAGTTAACAAGAACAGGCATGTAGATGCCTATGAGAGTGTAGAAATAAGTTAACATAATAATAATATGAATATAGTTTGTTCAAATAATATTTCTTTATTAGATTCAATTGATTATCACATAAGGACACATTGTAAAATTAATTTGAGACTAGTAGATAAGGCACTATTGTGAAAATTAATTTTATATAGCTTATAATATTTTAATTATTAGATTTACCTGACTATTACGTGAGAACACATTGTAAAATAATTGAAGATTAGTAGATAAGGCAATATTGTGAAATTAATTTAAGACACTCAAGATGCAGATACCTAGAATAGGTATCTATGGTATAAATAAGGATAGCTTTGCAAGTATGAATAGTTTGATCTTCCTCTTGAAGATTATCATTTGGTGATCGAAATACTTGTTGAGGTGTTAAAATAACGGTTTGGTGTTGGTAAAAAACTCCAGTAATATTCAGAGTTTTAATATTTATTCACAATTATATTTGAATATATGATTTCATTGGTTCAATCTGATTAGGACAGTAACAGTGATCAAAATTGTAAGAATTATACATAATTATGTCCCGAGAGTCACATATGATTCAAGAGTGTTCCTAAACTATATCTATCCAACAAACAAAGCAACCCAAACAACGAAAATGATCACTTCATGTTCAAGTGGAAGGGTAATCGCCCTCTTGAAGATGATCACTTGGTGATCGAAACATGTATCGAGGTTTGGTATGGGGATAGAACTCCAGTAATATTCATAATAAAACATTGTTGACGAAATTGCTAAAGCACATAATATAATAGTATTACGTCCTCATCCTTATCACTGCGAACTCAACCCAATATAGCTTATTTGGGCGGACATAAAACACTATGTTGCCAAAAAATACTACTTTTAAATTTTATGATCTTGAAAATATTCTTAGTGAAGCTGTTTCGTCTATCACCGCTGCAAAATGACATAATTGTGTAGGACATATGAAAAATAAAGTAGAAATGAAAGTGTTAAATTAGATCATCTAATGGATAAATTAGTTGACAGAAATCCATTGATGATTGATCTTATTGATGATTCTTCTAGTAGCAGTTCTTCAGAATCAGTTATCGGTCTAAAATAACAAATAGATTTATTACTCTATTATTATTTGTTCAACTTATACGTCAGAACGTCATTTTGAAATCAAAAACTGTTAACCCGTTTGTCCTAATAAAATAAAATGACATCTGTACCAGCATCCTTGTCTGGGAGATCACATGCACTATGCATGATAATGTTTTGGAGTTGCTTGGATGGACAGAAATAGATGGTAATTTCATGACTGTCAGTTTTGTTGCTGATTTTATTGAAAAGAGGAATTTCATTGCTGTAAAAGTCTGTTTTGGTGGTTAGCTTTCAATTCTTTCATATTCTATCGGTTTACAGAAAATGGGTTATATTAGTATGAAATTCGTTCATCACAGATTGAATGTTTCAAATGCGGAGGGCTTTATGTTCCAAGAAACTCAGATTTTTGAATTATAATTGAATTCAATATCGAAATATACATATTTTCAATAGACAATTTGGAATAATGATGATGGCAATGTGTTTTTCCCAAAAAATGCTTATTGAGGAAAGTAAAGAAAGTTAGGTTAGTCGATCTGCTATTGACTTCCATAATAAAGAGTAGACAACAATATCTCGTCTTAGAAACAACGTGCGGTATGTGAGTTTGAAATCCGTAATGCAATCAAATATCCAGTTTCAATTTACAGTTTGTAAAATAATTAACAATTATTGGCACATAACACATTTGCATCAATCCCCAAAATTACAAACAATCATTCAGATCTTCATACATATTATGAATCAGTATCTAAACATTTTTCACTATACTAATTTCTGGCAGTGAAATGTCAATTTATCGTTAAGAAATTTCCCTTTGGTCTTCGATTAGCGCCTTTCTGGATCAAGTGATTCTGAAAAAATATTTTACAAAGAGAAGGGGCTCTAATGATCACACTAGGGATTTTATGCATCTTAGAAAAAAAACATAAAAAACTTCTGTTCCCTCAAAATGACATTGCATAATAGATTCACACCACGGACGTATATTATTATAGTATTACTATGATTCAAATTATAGTTTTTTCGGTATGAAGAATCAGTCTTTCCTATAAATGAGCTTTGCCTTGAAAGGCTTCGGTGCCATCGTAACCCCATCAAAGCCTTCTAGTGTGAGTTCCTCTTCACCAAACTTCTCTATGTTGAAATTGTGTAGCACTGCAGTGAAAAACATGAAGACATTAGCTTTTCCCAAAGACTCCCCAAGACAGCGCCTCCTGCCTGAAAATGTAGATCCTTCAAGTCAGATATATTAAATGTTGGTAATAACTGGAGGTCAAAAAAAGATATCTTCAAAAAATGTAACAGTGTTACATGTTAATACGTCTTGAAATTGTCGTTGTAACAAAATCAATTCATCCATCGAACTAACATTGCATGGTTGGTATCTTTGCCAGCTTTTTTCGTAGAAATATTTACTATGTAGTTACGAAATGTTATATACAAATGAAATCTTGTCCCCAGTCCAAAGAAATTCTCAATACATTTTGAAATGCTCAGGGTAATAAACTGTGAACAATGCTCTTGATAGAAACATCTCTTCGAATAAAACAGACATTGAAGAATGTAGATTTTCTGACTCAACATAATACCATGTAAGCGAAGAAATCGTTAAACAAAAGACCTTTGTTGAATTAGTGATTTGGAGATGAGTAGATATATAGGTAGAATCAAGTATTTTCTTTCCAAAAGTTCCAAAAACATCACCTATACATGTAAACCTCATATATCTCAATACAAAATTGAATATGTATTCGAAAATGACAAATATTTGATACCTAAACTCATGTAGAAAACGTCAGTAGTTGGTTTATGCCGATTTTGAAACCTCTACTCACCACTTTTAACCTTGAAGTTAAATATATCACACGACATAGCCAAGGTAACTTTGAACGGGTGTTTTGAGTTTGGTCTTGAATGACCTTCATTCACTTATATTTTCGAAAAGGTGATTTGGATCTCGAATGAACTCGATCAGTTACGCGACTTTCTTGAAATTTTGAACACAACGTAGTCAAGGAGACTTTAAGGAAGCGTTTTCTGTTTGACCCTAAATGACCTTCAAGTACGTCACACGACGGAGACAAGATTACTTTGGAGCCGTGTTTTTGGTATGGCTTCAAACAACTTTGATTCACCCCATTTCACGTGGCAATCTTGAAGTTTTAAGAATTCGACCTTGAACGACCTTCAACAGCGTGGACGGGGCGGTATCACATAAAATCAATACATCCAATTTCAAATCTGAATATTATCCTAATGTTTCACAATCGAACAAGGACCATACACGTTTTGTCCTCTCATAATCATCGTTAGATAAATGTTTCTCACTCAATTGATCACAAAATTCGGATTTTGATGGTAGATCAGTACCATCCAACCTGGCCAAATCTTTAACCAAAATAGAGAAAAACTCAATTCTGTCACATCAAGATTTTTTTTTTATTTTCCGGAAAACACTCGTGTTCCATAACATTGCTCATCTGACAATCTCTTCTTTAACTACTGCGGAGATGAACGCAATGAATCCTAAGGTATCGATAAATCTCAGCTCCAAGAATTGTTTTTTATTGTGGTTCTCATCAAATAGATGCTTAGATGCTTCCTTTGTTTGACCGATGACATCCACCTTGTCACCACGTTCCTGAAATTCCACAGCTTTTGCTGGAAACATGTCGACAAATGTCCTATATATCTCCTCAAGATCGTTAGATTGGTCAACAATTTGATTTTATCTGTTGAAAGACTTCACCTCTAATATTTCCTGCATTTGGAGTATATACCTCCCAAACAACTCTATGTTCACTTTCAAGGAGTTATGAACTTGCACCATTCGATCAATCACAGTCACAACTTACTGCCTCACTTCATTGAAAAATGATTGATAGTCTGATTGCGGATTCTCACTTTCGACTCTGTAGCTAACGTTTGTATATTTGAATGCGCTGTTGATAATGTTTACACCATCTCCAAATTCTGTATAGAAATTCGTTCTCTGCTCCAATGTTTTGAATTGTGAATTCATCTTATTCACAGTCAGCATTCTATTACAATAGTTGCACAATGTCCTGAACTGCACTTGGTTGGGCAAAATCCACTCTGGGTCGTATCACTGGAGGGCCCGCATCATCATACGTCTTGCAGGACTGCATTTGATGACGACGTATGTTACCTTTACGGCTGAAACCTACACCACATCTGTCACAGTGAAACATATTTGTAGGGATATTTAGCACGCGCAATATCAATCTAACTCCTGTGAGTGAATGGCTCGGCCCCTCTTTAATAAGTTCTTTCAAAAAGTGGGGAAGGGAAAGAGATTACATGAGCGCACTCAGCAAAGGCATATGATATTGTAGAAGGTCACCCAAAGTCAAACTAAACACGCACTCCAAAAGCCTCTTCGTCCATGCAACTGAAAGTCGTTCAAGATCGAATTCTTGAATCGTCGAGATAGCCGCGTGAATCAATGAAGGTTGTTCAAGGTCAAATTAAGGTCAAACTCAAAACACCAGAAAGTTATCCTGACTGCATCGTGTAACGTATATAGAGCTCATTTCAAGGGTGAAAGTGGTGGGAGAAGGTTCCAAAATCGGCATAAACCAACTACTAACGTCGCGTCGACGAGTTAGTATCCAAAACAGAATCCCGCGGAACGTCCCTGAACACTACACATATATTTTGCCTGAGTTAAAATTTTCTATATGATTATTTATGATAATATCAATTTCAACTTGCATTCTTCTTTGATCTAGATATTTTAAACCTTTAAGAAGAAGTCATTATAGTCAAGTTGAGTCAAGAAAATGTCGAATCCACTCAATAAAATGCTTGAGAGAGATCGCAACTCATTGCTACGGACTTTTTATTAGCTTTATATACTCATTATGTTGATCTGGAGTTTTTTCCCAACACTAAATCGTTATTTTTAACACCTCGACACTTGGTGATCGAAACACGTGCCGAGGTGTTAAAAATAACGATTTGGGGTTGGGAAAAAACTCCAGTAATATTCATTACTACACCAAAGGTTCCAAACAGTGCATCATAAGAAGGAAGTTCACAACGAATTGCCATTCTTAGACGTATTGGTAAAGAGAACAGACACTAAATGGGAAACATCTGTATATCGAAAACCCACTCACACAGGACAGTATCTGAACCAGGAATCCAACCACCATCAATCAACCAAAAGAGGAGTCATCAAGACTCTACTAGATCGTGCTTTCAGACTCTGTAATACAAAGGAAGGTCTCGAAAAGGAATTAGGCATCATCAAAAATGACCTTCAACGAAATTGTTACTCCAAAGTGATGGTAGAACAGGCTTTAGCTAGAAGACCACAAGGAAGAGAAGCCGCCACAAACAGTACTTTTACTTCCCTACATCAGAGGATTATCGGAAAGGATAAGAAGGATTGGGTCCATTGAAAGTTCTCATTGCCGGGCACAAGAAAAACACACATCGAGGAGAAACCAGCAAATCAGGGATAGCAGAGCATGTTTGGACTCATCAGCATAACATCAAGTGGGCTCAAGCTGAAATCATCCACAAGGAGGAACACTGGTTTAGGAGAAAATTCAAAGAAGCCGCATATATGCTGTCCAACAACGCATTTAGCCAAGCTAGCGTAGAGATACGCAACATATGGAAACCTCTAATCAAGCGGAACACGACCAACTCCCGCCAAACGGTCATCTTCCGTTAAAACTGGTGAAGCGTAGAGAGGGAACAGGTGATAGGTGAAAGCACTCGAGTGACCTATAAATTGTCAAATCTCTGAGGAATAAGTCCAGTTATCACCCGAAGACGATTGTGGATACTAACAATCGAAACGTCGTGAATTAACTTGGTTTGGAATCATTTGATTTATAATTTTCATTTCTGGTTAATATTTTTTTAATTCTCATTTCGGGTTTATATTTAATTTTTTTATTTCTTTTGGTTGTTACTTGTATTTTATTTCATTGTAATTTGAGTTTTTTTGCTCGATATTATTGTTATTTTTCAGTTTATTAATTTTAATTTTTTTCAGATTTTTTCAGGGATTTCAAATCAATTTATATCATACTAGACAATGGAAGTCCGAAATAATGGAATGTACGATGCATTGCTGGACTCATCGATCCTTGAGGAATATGCCTAAGGGCGATGACAATTCCTCTTACGATGACGCCATATATGGAATTGACAGAGAAGTCAATCCTCGAATATCAGAAACAAAAAGACAGAAGGCGAATTTCATCGGCGGTCGATGTAGACGCTTAGATTTACAACTGATCTTTTTGGGGAGCCTCATTTATATTTGATAGTAGTTAGTATAAGCCAATTTCATAACCTCCCCCCACCACTTTTAACCTTGAAATGACCTCTAAGTCACACAAAGTAGCCAAGGTGACTTTGAGGAGGTGTTCTGAGTTCGACTTTGAACGACCTTGATCTACGTCATACGGTGACGCAGGCAAGGAATCTTTGAGGTGATGTTTTGGATTCAACCATGATAGACCTTCATTCATTTCACATGTTTTCGACAATAGGACTTCAACTTCGAATGACTTCGAGCCAGTTTTGCACCTACATGATCTAAAGTAACCAAGACGACTTTGAACGATTTTTTGAGTTTGACATTGAACGACCCTGACCTACGTCATACGATGCAGGTAAGGTGACTTTGAGGTAGTGTTTTTGGATTTGACCTTGAACGACCTTCATTGATTGATGCGTCTATTTCGAAGATTCGACTTTGAACGACCTTTTGCAATATCATATGCCTTTGCGACGTACATTTAAGGGCGCTTATGTATTCTCCTTCCCTTCCCCACTTTTTGAGTGAGCATATAAAAGAGGGACTGGCCACTCATATGAGTCAGTTTGATATCGCGCATATTGAATATTATTTCGAAGATTTGAGGATTCGACCTTCAACGACATTCAGCTGCATGGACGAATGCTTTTGGACTGAGGTCTGACAATGAACTCTATATACGTCACACGAAGTAGCCGAGGTGACTTTGAAGTAACATTTTGGGTTCAATCTTGAATGACCGATATTCAATTCCCATGTTTTCGATAAGTTTTGAACCGATACGACACAACGTACATTGAGGGGCGTTCCAAGTTTAACCTTGAACGACTTTGACCTACGTAACACGGCGACACAGGTAAGGTGTCTTTGAGGTAGTGCTTTGGGTTTGACATTGAATGACCTCCATTGTTTGATGCGACTATTTCGAAAATTTAAGGTTTCGACATTGAACCACCTTCAGCTGTATGGACGAAGAGGCTTTTGGAGTGGGTTTTCAGTTTGACTTCGAGTGACCTTTTGCAATATCATATGCCTTTGCTGATTGAATGACCTTCATTCATTCTATATATTTTCGACGTGACTTTGACCTCGAATGAACGTGAGCCAGTTACGTGGCTTGAAGTTTTGAACATACGAAGCACAACGTACCCAAGCTGACATTGAGGGGGCGTTTCCAGTTTAACCTTGAACGACCTTGACCTACGACACACGGCGACGCAGGAAAGGTGACTTTGAGGTAGTGTTTTGGGTTTGACATCGAATGACCTTCATTTTTTGATGCGGCTATTTTGAAGATTTAGGGATTCGACATTGAACATTCTGCAGCTGGTTGAATTCCCTACAATATCGGCCGATCGGATTCAACTATTTTGTTGCTGATACTCAAGGTATATTTGAGTATACTCCTGGTGAGCAACAAATTTGAAACACTTTTTATTCTAAGGAAAACTAGTTTCAAGAAGCAAGAACATGGAAAATGAAAAAAAATTAAAATCGGCCGATCGGTTTCAAATATTTTGTTGCTGATACTCAAGGTGTATTTGAGTACCCTCCTGATGAGCAACAAATTTGAAGCTTTTTTCATTCCAAAGAAAAGCGGTTTCAAGGTAGCAAGAATGAGGAAAATGAAAAAAAAATGAAAATCGGCCGATCGGTTCCAACTATTTTGTTGCTGATACTCGAGGTGTATTTGAGTCCCCTTCTGGTGAGCAACAAATTCATAAATACCCTATATTCCAAAGAATACCGGATCAAAGCCAAGTATTTCATTGCTGATTTTCGGAGTGTATTTGAGTACCCTCCTGATGAGCAACGAATTTGAAATGCTTTTTATTCTCAGGAAAACCAGTATCAAGATAGCAAGATCGAGAAAAATTTCAAAAAAAATAAATAAAAAATCGGCCGATCAGTTTCAACTGTTTTGTTGCAGATACTCAAGGTGTATTTGAGTTTACTCTTGGTGAACAACAAATTTAGAACATTTACAATTTTAGGAAAAACCAGTTTCAAGATAGCAAGATCATAAAAAATTATTTAAATTTTATTCGCTAGATCCAAGGTTCAGCAACTAAATCTTCTGTAAAGATCAAAGAGAAAGTATGTAATTCATCAAGTTACCTTGCTACCTTCATATCACGATAGCATTATTCGCGATTTCTAGGGATCGGCACGAGCAACAAAATCGTTGTTTTAGCAACTAATTAGCTACAAATTGATGTATTGTTTTTTGCAATTCTGCTGGATTTGCCATGCTAGCCTGATAGGGCTAAAAATCCTTCACTTTTTACTACATCAAGTGTTGCGATTTTGTAAATCTATTCAGTGAAAATCTTACAATTAAGTGTTTTTTGAATACGTCAGTTATGGATTTTCATCAAGTATCGGCCAATTCCATCATACATCAAGTGCTTTGAGGATATGTACATGGGCGGTGTATTAACGTATATACTTTTGAAAAGTATTTTATATTTTATCATGTGATTTTCAAAAGCATTCACAAAGTTTTGATTAGGTTTTTTTGTCTTATTCATTCAATTATTCTATTAGTGTAAACGAGATTAACCTTGAGAGATTAACACTACTTAATCGATTCACGCAGTATTTTTTTTCATTGTGCAATAAATAGCCTCAAATTGTGATAATACCCTTCATTTCATTTTTTAACTTCCGCAATATGAATATGAACATATTAACATCTTTTATGTGTTTTTTCGTATCATGAAAAAATGTTCATCCTAGCAAAACTTTGATTGAAATAGCTTTGAGATATCATTATTTATCATTGAAATACCCAAAATAAACCCATCATAGCTTGCATGCTAATTTTACGGCTGAAAATATATACCTAAAATATCACACTTTCAAACTTATTTTTCGGCTAGAATGCCTGGGAATATCGTGTCTCACGGCATGGGAGTTTTATTCCCAGGGAATCGTCATTTACATGAAATCGAAAAAAAAAATCGGAAAATGGAAGTTGGAAATTTTTCAGGATTTTGCTGGATATTTTATGAGAAAATCGCCTTTCCAGTTGTTTAGACAGGAAATTCGGGCTTTTTACAATGAAGCATCGATAAAGTTCATCAGCAGCTTTTGTCAGAGACTACGACCGCGATTCTAGCGTCCGTCGTTCAGATTTTATTCATGCTTCATTCGGATTTTACAGCTGAAAATATTACTAAAAGAAAATACACTTCAGATATCACACTTGCAAACTCATTAAGTCTTCGAAATAACTGCATGAATCTTTAAAGGTCATTCAAGGTAAAACTCAAAACACTACCTCAAAGTCACTTTGCCTGCATGGTGACTTGTTTCAGCAAAGGCATATGATATTGCAAAAGGTCACTCAAAGTCAAACTGAAAACGCACTCCAAAAACCTATTCGTTCATACAGCTGAAGATGGTTCAATGTCGAAACCTTAAATTATCCAAATAGCCGCATCAAACAATGAAGGTCATCCAATGTCAAACCCAAAACACTACCTCAAAGTCACTTTGCCTGCGTCGCCTTGTGACGTGGGTCAAGGTCGTTCATGGTTAAACTGGAAACGCCCCCTCAATGTCACCTTGGGTACGTTGTGCATGTTCAAAACTTCAAGCCGCGTAACTGGCTCACGTTCATTCGAGGTCAAAGTCACGTCTAAAATATATAGAGTGAATGAAGGTCATTCAATCAGTGAAGGCATATGATATTGCAAAAGGTCACTCAGAGTCAAACTGAAAACACACTCCAAAAGCCTCTTTGTCCATACAGCTGAAGGAGGTTCAATGTCGAAACCTTAAATTTTTGAAACAGCCGCATCAAACAATGAAGGTCATTCAATGTCAAACCCAAAACACCACCTCAAAGACTCCTTTCCTGCGTCGCCGTGTTACGTAGGTCAAGGTCGTTCCAGGGTAAACTCGGAACGCCCCCTCAGTGTACGTTGTGTCGTATAGGTAATATTATTATTACTTCGTGTGACGTATATAGAGGTCATTGTCAGAACGCAGTCCAAAAGCATTTGGCCATGCAGCTGAAGGTCGTTCAAGGTCGAATTCTCAAATCTTCGAAATAATATTTAATATACGCGATATCAATCTCCTATGAGTGGGCGGCTCCTTTTTATATACTGACTTAGGTCAGTATCGTGTGACGTAGGTCAGGGTCGTTCAATATCAAACTTAAAACAATCGTTCAAAGTTTGGTTACTTCAGATCATGTAGGTGCAAAACTGGCTTGAAGTCAAAGTCCTAGTGTGGAAAATATGAGAAATGAATGAAGGTCATTCAAGGTTAAACCCAAAACACCACCTCAAAGATACCTTGCCTGCGTCACCGTATGACGTAGATCAAGGTCGCCCAAGATCAGACTCATAACACCTCCTCAAAGTCACCTTGGTTGCTTTGTGTGACGTAGAGGTCATTTCAAGGTAAAAAGTGGTGGAGGGAGGTTCTAAAATCGGCTTAAACCAACTTCTTTTGATATTCAAGGATTGAGTTATCTGTCAATTCTATAGATATCGCCTTCGTTGGAGGAGATGTTACCGCCCTCAGTACAAAATATGTATCACAGCTATCCTATATAGAAAGTATGATATGCCAACAGATCCTGGCTAATATCATCGCGGATATCCGGCAGATACCTGTTCAAGCGTTCTATATATATTATGTTGAAGAAGAAATGACTGAATGCTTTCACCCGATGAAGAATATCAGTTAGAGGTAATTTTTTCACCACAAAAGTAGTATTGACGTTAAGCTGTATTCATTCAAAATACTGTAATACTGGTTTCTATTAGGGACTTTCGTAAGATCACTGTGTAATATCTGATTTTTTTATGTATAAAAAAAGATTCATAACTTACCGCCTCCAAATGGAATGTAGTGACCTTCGTGCTTGATAATATTTCCTGCTTCATTCAAAAATCTTTCTGGTCTGAATTCAAACGGATCTCTCCAATACGATTTTTCCATGTGCACACTGTATAAATTTGTCAAAATTATCGTATCTTCCGGTATTTCATATCCGTTAAATTCTGTATCTTTAACTGCTCTGTGGGCGATTCCTAACGGGGCAATTGTGACGCGACGTTGAATTTCCATAAGCACAGCTTCGGTATATTTCAATCTGAAATAACCACATTGTTATTATCAATATTGCAGCTGGGAGAAAAATCTACTTCAACAACTTCAATAATATGGTATAAATAGGCATATATAGGATGGAGAAAAGACTTTTGTCTAATTTCCACTAACTTATGATGCACTGTTTGGTACCTTTGATGTAGTAATGCATATTACTGGAATTTTTTCCCAACACCAAATCGATATTTATAACAACTTGACACGTGTTTCGATCAGCAAGTGATCATCTTCAAGAGGAAGATTAAACTGGCCCATCTAGTTTAATCTTCCTCTTGAAGATAATCACTTGGCGATCGAAACACGTGTCGAGGTGTTAAAAATAACGATTTGGTGTTGGGAAAAAACTTCAGTAATATTAATTTCTACTAAGTTCATTATTTGTCACGACCGGTTTCGGTTTGTTAGACCATTCTCAAGTAAGTGTTGAAACTGGTTAACAACCAATAAACTTTGTAGAAATTAGACAAAAGTTTTTTCTTCAAAATTTATATGAAATATGAATTTCTACAAAATAAATTGGTATATATTTCTGGAGTTTATCCCCACACCACAATTAATTTAAGACTAGTAGATAAGGCAATATGTGAAATAAATTTTATATAGCTTGGATTATTTCAATTGTCAGATTTACTTGACTATTACATAAGGACACGTTGTAAAATTAATTTAAAACAAGTAGATAAAGCAAATAATTGTAAAATTAATTTAAGACACTCAAGACGGAAGTACCTATAGTATAACAATTTTCAATTGAAGGTAAATCATATACAAATTGAACTGAGAGCTAATGGCAACAATGTTAAATATTAGAACTAAATTCTTACCGGTGTCATTTTCATTGTCTATGCATAGCCATTGTAAAAGTATGATAATTCCATAAAGTTTTACCCCCGTAACAAGATAGCTTCTGCATATCGATAGGATGTACGAGCGAATAGGTGAACCAGTTCGTAAAATACTTCGAAACATCGGTAAACTGATCAACACTTCGCAGGTCTATTATATTTGCGTCCTTAAAATGCCATAACTAGTCATTCGGTTTCTTCATTATCAAGCGTCCTGATCTGTATAAGCGTAGTGTGTTCAGTTTCTTGTGTTTTCTTTGTGTTTCTTTGTTTTTTATTTATCAAATATATTTTATTATATTTATTAAATAGACTGTTATATTTATTAACTTCAAAATATAAGATAGAGTTGGCCGATACATAGATTTTCATCACATTCACGCTTTATTGTGAGATAATTAGTTGACCTAGTCATTAAACTCAGGTAGAGCTGTCATTAATTAGTTCCTAGAGTATTATTAGCTTCTAGGTAGATAGTAATATTTCAAAAAGTATATATAAATCACAATGTATGTAGAATTCAGTTTGTTAGTGAACACGCTTGAAAAAGCTACTGTGCGCCAACCCTCGAATCCATTAGGACAAAGGTAATGGATGTAGATCTTATTCCAAAAATGAGCAAAGAGAAGTTAAGGAAAATAATAAAAGAAAATTTAAAATTTATGTATGCCAAACGATCCCGTAAATCTGTCTTAATAGAAAGAGAAGATATAGTCTCATGGCAACGCTCTATTAGAGAAATGCGTTCTGCTCACAAAAAGATTTATTATCTGGACGAAACGTGGGTGAATGCTGGTTACACAGTATCTAAGATCTGGCAAGATACTACTGTAACTAGTTATCGTCAAGCATTAGTGGACGGTTTATCAACAGGGTTACGCGGACCAACGGGCAACGGCTTTTTAGACGATAGTGCACAAATTTTTTTTATCAAAACGGGGGATTATCACGAAGACATGAACGCCCAACGCTTTGAAGGATGATTTTAATCCCTTCTTTCACGAACGAGCCAAATTCGGTAATAGTAATGGATAACGCTTCTTATCACAGCCGATTAGTAGAACAGCTGCCAAGTATGACCACCAAAAAAGCAGACATGCAGAGTTGGTTAGGAGAAAAAGGAATTCCATTTTCCGAGGACATGGTTAAGGCCGAGCTTACGAGTGTCATTAAACAGCATCGTGACAGATGTCGCCAGCATGTGGTGGATACAATAGCTCGTGCTGAAGGCATCACCATTTTGAGAGTTCCTCCTTACAATTGCGAGTTAAACCCGATAGAATTAATCTGGGCTCAAATTAAGGGTTGTGTAGCTTGTGAAAACGTGACATTTAAAATTTCTGATGTCCAATGTTTATTAGAACTCGCAATGAAGCGGAAACGGAAAGAAGATTGGGCTAATGCTGTAGCCCATGTGATCAAGGAAGAAGAGAAAATGTGGAGATTGGACGAGATGGTAGACACTGTTTTCGACCAAATAATAATAGATTTAAGTGTAACTGGAATTCCTCTTCGGACGAGTCAATGGATTCTGAAACTTCATAAGCATAACATAGGTAAGTACTGTATTAGGCATAATAAGAAAATGTAATCAATTTTACCATTGGCACCAGGTAGCGCCACCTACTATAACAATTTTTACGTTTAAATAAATCTAAATATTATTTTGGTACGCCTCTGCAGAGTTGGTAAGAGGATTATCCGTTGGTCACTTCAAGTGCGACGTTGCTAAGGAATCACCTTCAATTGAAAATTGTTATATACTATATATGTTGGAAATAAACTCCAGTAATATTCATTTCTACACCAAAGATTCCAAACAGTGCATTACAAGAAAATAAATAGGTCATCAATTGAACAAATATGGTACCCAAACTGCAATAATCGTGAAGGCAAATAATTTGCAATATATACTATAAGAGAAGTTCTCTGCAGCTTAAGATGATATATAAGAAGCATAGAAATATGTCTCCCATCACGAAGATGCCATCTATGGAGTGAATAGAAGAGTAAGTTCGTAGCAAAGCCAAGTTTCGACGCGATTCGTCTGCCGCTTTTTCTCTACACCTTTCAGCATCTCGTTCAAGTTGAAATCACAACGGATCGCCTTTCAATATTCGTGGATTGGGTTTTCTGTCGAACTCAGAGGGGAGATGTCCAAACTTGATGAAACCTATGTTCGAAATAGCGCTATCTGGTGTTGCCCCACGAATGCTTTGTTTTCGGACTCTGGTTTAATTCAGTTCTATTGCTGAATTAGCTATGCCTACATATGAATATAACAACAGAAGCAGCACTAGTGCCTCTAGAAAGGTTCCTTCAGTTCTATTGCTGATTTTGCTACGCCTTCGCTACGCCAGAAGCAGCACTAGTACCTCTAGAATTTCCAGAAACCAACAACAAACTATGTAATCTGCCAATACTTTTCTTATTTAATAAAATAGCAAAAACCGGGACATTATCAATTCAAAGTATAACTAATCAGTGACCCAAGTGGCACAGAAAATTTTAACAAGGCACTTGTCAGTCGTACAATTCTTGAGATAGCCAGTGAAGAGAAATCATGAACGCTTGTTTGGATAGTTGAAATCAAATGCACTAAGAAATCAAATGTTATTTAAATGAGGGAAATATTTCTTTTTCAAAAATATTTGGGTCAACCGGCGAAAAGCCATATGGAGAAACCTTCAATAAAACAGAGAGAGAAAAAGGAGTAGAACATACCCTGTTATGTGTATGTGATTGAAAAAGTTACTCATGGAGGAACTTCACGTCTCAGTAGGTAATCTAGAATCAAATACCGAAAATTGTACAAAAACAGTAGGAGAGATAATGGTTTCTTCGAATGCACCTTACTGGATCCAGAGAAGATTGAAAGATTGTAGCGTTTATAAAAACTTACTGTACTTTTTATTTACTTTTTATGTTACCAATGGTAATCCCAGATGATTTCAAAGAATGTTTCCTGAGCAGTAGGCAATCCAAATTACATCTTTTTACCTCGCTAAGATATGAACTAGTTTCCGATACAGATTGGTAAATTTTTCTTTCCAATACGACCGATTGAATCAGATCCCTATTGAGGTAGGATTTCTCTATTCGTTAAACCGAAAGTCAAGAATGAGGAATTGCCAAAATTATTTGGGTAAATTCCTCAGAATAGACTTGGGCAGTAGGTAATCTTTAATCAGGAGAACGGCGAGGAGATGAGGCCATTTTGTAAAAAAAAAGAGTGAACGAGGAACTCGAGAAAGGATTTATTGAGAGGTGAGCCGTGTGAATCAATTTCAAAAATTTAAAGAAACTAGTTTCGGATATATGTAGTTTCATACATAGATTTTGGAAGTTTGAAATTCACAACCACTTTTTCAGAACGAGCAACGCCACCTCATTAAAAACGTTTTTCGCGATTTTGTTGGTTAACGGAACTCTTCGTTTGGGAAGTGTTTTCAGTGTTGGGATACTTTTTTCGATAGTTTTTCTGCAGAAGAGTTCCTACAAAACTTGTCTGTAATCATTAAAGAGAGAATAACAAGGACATAGTGTGTGGTTCGCGTAATACTAAACATCTATGTTAAATCGTTCTGTGAAATCTATATAGTTGTGGTATGTGATATATTCCAGAATATATCAACCGAGTCAATAATATCAATAAAATAACAGCAGATTTGATAGGTAACTCGCTCCTGGCACTGCTGAAGAGGGCTACAAAAAAACAGTGTAAACAAGATACCGACGGTAAAGCGAACCATATACTATAATGTGAATTCTATTGCTGAAATGACTGAAACTATCCGGTCTTGTTGGAAGAAATCAGACAAACAAAACAAGAACTGAAATCGGTTATAGAAGCAGTCGAAGTTCGGCTTTCATTGAAAGTTGAAGAATTCAGTAATTGATTGAAAAACTGGAAATAGAAAATGCTATAATTCAAGAGAAATTTGAACAACTCGAAAGGAAAACTAAAGAAAATAACTTCGTCGTATTTGGGCTGAAACATCCAGGGCAGGGAATCACAGTAGATTAAATTACACGCGAGATCAAGAGATTAGTTGGAGTTGAGGTCCAGGAGACTGACCTAAACAATTTCTATTCTCTTGGAAAAACCGAAACCGCACCTATAAAAGTGGAATTTGCC